TCAAAAGGAAAAATTGTTTTGACACTTAAGCAGTGATATTACATTTTAGAGAGTATTGGTAAATACTACTTATTTACTTTAAATATGCATGTAAATTGGATTTGTCCTTCTAGATTCACCCTCCACACACTCCTCCAACTTGCTTTGTGCATGGGTTGGTACATCTGTACCATATCTAGCCCACATCGGTGGGCCCTGTAGCAGGCACTGTCAATGCCCCGCCCAAATTCTTTGAACCTCACTCACTTCAGTTCTTCCCAGACTTCCAACTGTCGGTACCTCTATCTTTGTCTGAGGGCTTTTCCTGGACCCACAGAAGGCCAGTCTGCTAGCCTGGCAATCCAAAATACCCGCAAAATAACCTATCCCCAGGAGCAGCCTCCAACCAGACTTTAGGGGCATAAATGTCCCACTCCCTCATCTTTTGGTAGAAAAATGCTGAGATATGTATTTACACCGTTTCCCAGAGTTTTTCTGTGGGCCTAAGATCCCGTCTCTAGTACATTTTGCTTAATAACAATCTTATCGGCAGCTTTCTCTTCCCTTTATCACTTCCTCACTGCTCAACTGGTGTACCCTGAACCTCTCAAATAAATTTTCGCTTGAACTTTCATTTAAATAGACTTTTCACTTAAACCCTTATCCCAGAGTCTGCTTCCGAGGAAACCCAAACTAAAATAGGTTTCCTTCATGTCTGGCTTCCTGTTGGGTTCCGCTTTCCTGTTGGGAAGCGCCAGCAGGAGCTGTGGTGTATTGCATTCTACCCTCCACCCCAGGGTCTGCTAATGCCTGATTCTGCCCTGGATCCAAAGGTCCAGCTCCGGCCAGGGGGCCCTAGTCACATAGCTCTCTCTGTCTCCAGGTTCCAGGAAGTGCTGCCTCTGTTTTATCCTTTCAGGCCTCAGGCCATAAACATCACCCCACTGTCACTAGCCCTGGGACACTGCAGCATACCTTGTGATTGCACTCCATCCTACTTATACTTTTGCAGATAGTGCCTTTATTAAACTTTTCTTAAATTCTGATTTTAGCCCATCATCTGTTCCTATTGGTACCAAGAGTGCTTTAGCAGGTTTGATGATTTCCGGGTTTGGCCTCAGTTTGTGATGAGGATACATGGGGAATGCACAAGGCAATGACAAGGATGGTAGAGGGGCAGAGATGGAAAGACAAATGTACAACAGAAGCTCACTGTTAGAATGATGGTAAGGGAGGGTGGGGATATTAGTTTTATATCGCTGTAACAAAGTATCTCAAAATTTAGTGACTTAAAACGAACATTTACTATCTTACAGTTTCTGAGGGTCAGGAGTCCAGGAGTTGCTTAGCCAGGTGGTTCTAGCTCAGGTTCTCTTGTGAGATTGTAGTCAGTCTGTCAGCTGGGTCTGTAGTCATCTCAATACGTGACTGGAGCTGGAGAATCTACTCCCAAACTCATGTACTAGTTGTTGGCAGGCCGCAGTCCTTGCTGGCTGTTGACTGGAGTCTCTAGTTCCTTGCCACGTGGCCACAGGGCTGCTCACCAAAATGGCAGCCAAACAAGTGATCCAAGAGATCACCCAAAACAACAAGATAGTACCCAACAGAGAAACCATATATATATTTTTTTATATTCTAATCTCAGAAGTGTCATACCACCATTTCTTTTGTATGCTATTGGTCTGACTTTGGCACAATGTGGACAGGGAGTACACAGGGTATGAATACTATCGAAGGCCAGTTTGGAGGCTGGCTTCCACAGGTGTTCAAGGATAACAAAACATCCCATTGAATTTCCCCGTGAGGGCAGAAAGATTCTCAAATGAGACACTGACCGCTCAAAGTCTAAAAGAGCTTCCCAGAAATTAATTGTAAGAGGCACAAATGAGAGTGTGGGCAAGACTGGGAATCCTAATCATACAAACATAATAAAAGGAATCGACTTACTGTTCATTAAGTAAGCTGGATATCCAGTGTAACTTCAGACAAACCACTTCCTCTTTCTGAACGTGTTTTCCCACTTGCAAATGAGGAGACGGGACTAAACTCTATGGCCTAATAACAAATACTTGCTTAGAAACTTACGGTGTTCCATGCTTTATACCCACTTTAACTTTTATTAACTCATTTTGCCTTCACAGTCATAGGCAAAGCTTGTTTGGAAGAGCCCTTGGCACCATTCCAAATGGGCTGGGCTCTCTCCAACATCAGCTTCTCCTTCTCAGCTTGAGCTGGAGCTCTGAAGATGTGATTAACATGTTTAGCAACTGACTGGCGCTTTCTCTGAGTCTCTTGTGAAATATGCTTTCCTGTGTAGTAATCACAATGCTTTGTGATTTGGAACAAAGTCAAGTAGGGAAAAAAAAACAGATAGTCTTGATAATTTCTGAGGAAATAAACTCCCAGTGGCTGAATTCAACTAAACTGTGAAATGGATTATCCCTTGGCCCAACAAGAGCTTCACTGGTGTGTGACTCCAAACTACCCTTCATATGACAGTGTGTGTACATGACTTCCCAGATTTGGGTATCAGACTCTACTTTCAAAATATAGTAAGAATTCCGGTCCATGGCACTGTCACCTCATGCCTAGATCACTGCTGTAATCTCCAAACTGACTTCCTGTTTCTGTTCTTATCACTCTATAGTCCATTCTCAAAACAGCATCCAGAGTGACCCTTGTTAACTATATATAGCTCATATCACGGCTCTGCTTGAAATTCTGCAATGGCTCCCCACTTCTTTCAGAGCTATGGTCTCTTGAGTCGGTTCTGAGTTCGGTGGGCAAACATGCAGGAGGAGGAGATGAGTGGAATAGAGAGTGAATGGCCATGAGCTGTCTCTTATGAGCCAGCAGTTCAGGAGCCAGAGGTCTGCCTTAAGCACTAGCAGCAATTGGATAACAGCTGCAGTGGTTAACTCGAGGTCACCCTGCACATCCTCTGGCCAAAAAGGATGCCTAGCTCATGTCTCTGCATCCTCAGCAGGGCATGGCGAAAGTCTTCCTTGGTGTCACAGAACTGACATTAGCTTCTGGTTAGTCTACCAGGCACAGAGAAGGGAGCATGAGGGGGACAAGCTTTTGTTAGGCTTGAGTCGTTCTTGAAAAATTCCTGTTGAAGTCAAGGGGAGAGCAGTCTAGAGATGTGAAACTCATGTGCCCCAAATCAGAATGATGCAATTCCAATAAACTTCCAGGGCAAAATTAAATAAGCTATCCATTAGCATCCTGTTTTCTCTTGCATTTGCTTTCTTTTCTTTTTAAGTGTTGTTAGAAGAGCAATCCATTTCTTCCTTAGCTATGTATATGGATTAACTGATGTGGTGTACAGGGAGCTCCAGTTATGGAGTTAGAGAACAGAACATGGTACCAGGAATGAGAAAACCTATGGGCATGTTCCTTTGACTCTCTGGACATGTTCACCATCTGAAAAATGCAGGGATTGAAAATAGGATCTTTCTAGTATATGATAATTCTAAGTCATCCCGTCTACTACACCAGGATACTATAGCAGGCATGAGCAAACTGCAACCTTCAGCTGCTGTCTGTTTTTGTAAAGCCTGGAAGCACCACTGAAACAGGTTGGCACTGTGAGCCTCAGAAACTAAGCCAGTGTCCTCCTGCATGTCCTCCTCCCTCTGCTTCCAGTGATTGTCTTCTATGCCAGTGCCTGTGCCTTGCTGCTTCTCAGGCCCATGCTAGTCACTATCTGTACATTGAGTATTGTGCTACAGGTGACTGCTAGTTGCCAAACAGTGACTCTCATTCAGCTTTAAAAAAAGGAAATCCTGCCATTTGCAACAATATGGATGAACCTAAAGGACATTATGCTAAGTAGACTACGCCAGAACCAAAAAGACAAATATTGCATGATTTCACTTATATATGGAATCTAAAATAGTTGAACTTACAGAAGGAAGCAGAGAGAATAGTGGTTGCCAAGGCCTGGGGCAAAGAGGAAATGGAGAGATGTTGGTCAAAGGGTACAAAGTTTCAGTTATGCAAGATAAATAAGTTCTGGAGATCTAATGTACAACAATGTGACTATAGTTAACAATACTGTATTACATACTGAAATTTGCTAAGACAGTAGATGTGTTCTCCCCAGGGGGGAAAAAAAAAAGAAAATGGTAACTATATGAGATGGATATGTTAATTAGCTTGTGTTATTTCACAACTATATCAAATCATCAAGGTGTACACTTTAAATATATGTACATTTTAATTGTCACTTGTACCTCGATAAAGCTGGAAAAAAGAACTTAAGAAAATATGTGGAAGGCAGTATGCATAGGGGTAATGCATGCAAGCTGTGGAGTCAGAACAAGGTTCTGCGTTATTTATGGAACCTCAGATAAGTCATTGCAATTCTTCTATGAGACTCAGTTTCCTGCTCTGTAAAATACAGATAATAATATGTCTTTTGAAGTTTTTGTGAAAATTAAATGAGACAATGTAAAATTTTGACACACTGTCCTGCACTCAGTAAATATTAGCTAATATTATTCAGTTGTTTCTTCTCAATCACCAATTCCAATGTCAGACAGGTAATGATAAAATACCAGTACAGTAAGAAAAGCATAGACCTGGTGGCACGTAATATAGGCTCCAGTCTTTGCTATGCCAGTTCTAAGAGGTCATTTTCTATATCTTAATTTATGCGTTAGAAAAATCTCAAAGACACCTAGTAATATCGTTCATTGAATTTATTCCTTCATTAGTCGACACTTATTGAACACCCACCATACTGTAGTTCCCCCTCATCCATGGGGGATTTTGTTCCAAGACCCCCCAATGGAGGCCTGGAAACACAGATAGTACAGAACCCTATATATACTGTTTTTTCCTATACATACACACATTTTTTCACTTAAAAGGAGCACTTTACAGCTTCTCTTTGGCACATCCGAATCGCCAGCATCATTACTCTTGTGCTTTAGGGCCATTATTAAGTAAAACAGGGACTACCTGAACACAAGCACTGCAATAGCATGACTGTGATATCAGTCAATCTAATCAAGACAACTAGCTACTAAATGACTAACGAGCGGGTAGCATATACAACACAGACACCATGATTCACTTCCCAAATAGGCCAGAGCAGGATGAAACAAGATTATATCATGCTACACAGAAGAGCACACATTTTAAAACTTATGAATTGCTTATTTCTAAAATTTTCCATTTACTATTATCAGACCGCAGTTGACTACGGGTTACTGAACCGTGGAAAGCGAAAACTATATTTAAGGGGAGACTACTGTATAGAGAGTTCTAATGCTAAGTACTCAAAACTTTAGTTTATGGCCTCTGCGTGGAGGAGCTCGGAGTCTAAGAAATTTCAAATAAGATAATGTCTGCCAAAAGTTTCCTACAAGTCAGTGGCAAGACTATCAGAAGAAAGTGCTGATATGACTCGCAGCTTTCCAGTTCCATGGAACTCTGTCCCAGAGACCTTCCATCTACCTTCCGGATGTTTGCCTGGAAGGTGAGGGCAGAGGAAACAGTTGTAAATAAAAGAAAGAGCATCCTTACTTTCTGGAGGAAACAAAGAAAAGGAGAGCGCTGGGCCTGTTTGGATTTGATCTGCAATTCTGTACTTAATTGAGAAGTCTAAGTCCCACACAGGGTGTCCGCGCTCACTAAAACAATGGGGGGAAGACTTAGGTGGGGAAAGAAACCGGGAATCCCGGCTGCGCATGCGTACTTTGACTTTCGCCCGCTGGCTAGGAAACCTTACGTGAAACCTTACGTTAAACCCTACGTTGAAAGACGTAGGGAAGGCGGCAGGGAAAACGCCGGCTCTCGGGTCACGTGATGCGGTGGGAGCGTCGGTTGACTCCTCCCTTTCCAAGATGGCGTCTCTGCTGCAATCGGAGCGGGTTCTCTACCTAGTCCAGGGGGAAAAGAAGGTTCGGGCCCCGCTCTCGCAGCTTTACTTCTGCCGCTATTGTAGCGAGTTGCGGTCGCTGGAATGTGTGTCTCACGAGGTAACAGTCGTCCCATGAAGAATATGTGTTGGGGGAAGGGGAAAGGCGTTCATATTAGTCACCGCGTTGGGCCGGGAAGCTCCGCGGGTGGAGGCGGGTAGTCATTTTCCTAGTTTGCTAATTGGTTATGTCTTCCGTCACTCACATTTGCCTGCTGTTTAATTTGCTTATAATTTGTCACTTGGAAAGGAGGAGCGGACTTGGGTGGGGCTGAGCAGATTTTTCTTGGTTTCAGAGCGCCCTCTGATTGGACAAACTTGAGTTTGGAGCCCTAGCAGTCTTCTGGGGGGTTTGGTAATAAGGTGGATTGGAGAGAAAAAGGTGTGGACCTCTTTAGTTGACGCCAGTTGAGGGGCAAGATACCGTTTTTTCCAGGATAGATTTGGGTGGGGTGGATGCAGGCATTGTCGTTCCTGTCCCTCCCATCCTGGAAGTTCTGTTTCTGCTTTGGCTAGAAACTGGGCCCTCATCAGACTGCCTTTCTCTGTGTCCTGGCTCAGGCCAAGGCCTGCAGCCGGGAGAGATTAGGATAGGTCGAGTTGAGTGAAAAGCACTTTAAATTGGGCATGTCATGTAAGAAGCTGGAAGTGTTATATTTATGGCGTTTCTCTTGAGGGCAGGGCGCTGTCCTTCATAGGCACAAATGGGTGTTCGTGGTGGGATTGCTCAGATCCAAAAGACCCCACCCCATAAAAAAATCATCAGACAACCGAACTCAAAACTTCTGTAGCGCTTGGCACATCTCATTCTTTTAGTAAGCTTTGGAGATTAAAAGATGAGTAAGCCATAAACCCTGCTGTTGAGTAACTCAACAATCTAATGAAGGAAAAGCTGATAGTAATAATAGATACCGTTTATTCGGTACTTTCTATTTGTAATATGATTTACATAATCTCCTTTAATCTTCTACAACTCAGTGGAGTAGATACCTTTTTAAAAAAATTCTTTACAGGTAAACACATAATGTTTGCCGTAGGCCACAGAGCCAGAAATTTGGGGATCAGAAGGAGGACTAGGATTTGAAAACGAGCATCCTAACTCAGAGAACTTCCATGAAGATACCTGGACTGTTAAAAATACATATGAAAAACATGTTCTATACTATAAGCCACTTTACATATTAATAATTATTATTGGGAATGTTTTTTACAATTTTAAGAATAGTCAGGGAAAGCATTTAATACAAGAAAAATCAATGCCATGTATGTGTAATATGGTATTGGTTTTTCGTATATACAACATGGCATTGATTTTTTTTGTATTTTTCTTCTCCATTAACGTGTGTGTGCGTGTGTGTGTGCGTGCGTATATCTTCTTGGCATGTCCTTTCTCTTTTAGATGCTTCCCTGTTCCACGTCCCCCCTTAGAATTTACTGGGATAGATTCTCATTTGGTGGTTATTAGGGAGCTCAGTCTCATGATCTCTAAGGATCTCTTCAGCTGTGACATTTAGTCTGTAATTGTATCTTTTACAGACTGATGTGTACCTAGAGGTGGAGGCCATTAGGGTTAGGGGAAGGATGAGACTAGTGAGGGCTGGAGCAGTCCATAAAGTTCTGATGGAAAACCTTGGATTAGAGCTGCACGTGAAGGGACAAGCGTAATTCAGAAAGGGGGTGTAAAGGAATGAATAATACTGCCTTTTATGATGAGTCAGTGTAAATATTAGCGATACTATATTTTATGTTCCTGGAGATTATTTGAGCAGCAATTGTATTAATCTTTTCAAAGATGGTCTTGTTTATAGCAGGTGATGAAAAAAGCCAGTTTCTATCATAGTATTTGAGTTCAAATGAATTTGTTTTTCCATCTGCCCTTGAGTAGAGTTCTAAAATTTTCAAATAGAATCTACCTACCTTTAAGAAAATAACTATACAGACTTTAAAAAAAAAGAATTTAATTTTTATACAGTGTTTTTGAGTTAAATACAATAAGACCCTTGTTTGCTTAGTAGTTTTATTTGTCATTTAAAAATGTCTAATTGGTTGGCTGTAGCTGACTTCATAAATGTTAATTTATGCTATTCAGTGAATGTGTATTTCTTAAATGAGAAAACGTTTTAAATCTCTTACAATTTATGTGTGGTCAAGTTACTATAATCCAATATAGCCATATTTGATCACAGCTTTACAAATTAGGTTATTTATTAATCTATTCTCTAGATTATTGTAGAGTTCTTTTATATAGACAATTTTTAACACATCTAATACATAAAACCTTAATGAAAGGGAACAGGAAAGATCAAAATGGAAAAATAGAAGGGTTTGACTTCTTGTTTTCTTCTAGGTGGACTCCCATTATTGTCCCAGTTGCTTAGAAAATATGCCATCAGCTGAAGCCAAACTAAAAAAGAACAGGTAAGACTGGGATCCATTTTTTCTGTTTCCTCAACTATTTTTTTAATAGTGGTAAAACACATGGAATTAACTCTCTTTTTCAACTAGCTTTTTTTCATTTTTTAGCATTACCTTTGCCAAGATGATAAAGAAGATGATAAAGAGAATTCCCATTTACTCCATACCCAGTCTCCCCTATCGTTAACATCTTACTTTAGTGTGGTATATTTGACTCAGTGAGCAATACCGGTACATTATTAAATAAACTCCACATTTCATTCAGATTTCCTCAGTTTTTTCCTAATGTCCTTTTTCTGTTCCAGGATCCTATTCAGAGTTTTCACAATATATTTAATAGTTATGTCTTAGACTCCTAAAGCTATGATACTTTCTTTGACTTTCCTTGGTTTTGATGACCTTAAAAGTTTTGAGGAGTACTGGTCACATATTTTGTAGAATGCCCCTCATTTGGAATTTGTCTGATGGTTTTTCTATCAATTGGGTGAATGTGTTTTGGGGAGGAGGCCCACAGAGGTCAAGTGCATCATATCAAGGGAATATACTATCATATGACTTATCACTGTTGATGTTAACCTCGATTACCTGGCTTGAACTAGTGCTTGTCAGGTTTGTTCCATGTGAAGTTACTCTTTTCCCCCTCTCCTTTTCCATGCTATATTCTTTGGAAAGAAAATCACCAGAGCCCAAACTTAAATAGTGGAGAGTTATGCTCCCCCTCCGTGAGGGCTGTCTATGTTAATTATTTGGAATTCTTTTGCAAGGAAGATTTTTCTCTTTTTTTTTCCTAGTTATTTAATCATTTACTTAAAGTAGTATGGGCTCATAGATGTTTATTTTATAGTTTAGGTTATAATCTAATACTACTTTTTTTTGGCTCAAATTATTTTACATTTGGCCATTGCAAACTCTGTAGACTCCTGTATCTCTTTGACATACCCCCATCATTAACTTTGAGGGTGGTTGGTTCATTCATTTGAGTACTTTCTTACTTTCCGGTACTAGATACTCCAGGCTCATTCTGTGTATTTTCTGCCTCAATCTAGCTTTAGCCATTTCTCCAAGGAGCCCTGGTTCCTTTTGTTGGTGAATGGTATTTAAAACCGAGATCTGGATGGTAGGCGTGTTCATTGCTCCTCGGTGCCATTTGGTTTTCAGTTTGATGTAAAAATCCTTTGCTACCAGTCACATTTCTACAGCTCTGTGGATGTGAACCACTATTATCTATCTTTCCTATCCTCAAGAAATACTTTTTGATAAGCCAGACACTGTTTTGTATGCTGTCCACACATTAATTTTATCATTCAGTCCTCAAAATATTCCTGTCAGGTGGGTACTATTATTATCGTTACTTTAGGATATTATCCAGATGGCAAAAATATTGCAGATAATTGGAGTTATAGAATAGAACTTCAGTACAAGTCCAAGATTGGAGGTGAAATCTTGATAATCTCAGGTGGTGGAAAGTTAAAAACAACAAGGCAAAGGGGCCCCTGAAGGGGAAATTTTGGCTGAGCACTAGAAAGAATAGTGCCTAAGGAGAGAACAGAAAGCCCTAAAAATGCAGCACTTCTGAACCATTCCAGTTTGATAGCACTGTTTGGTTTCTATTTCATTTCTCTGGCACAGCAAACAAGCAGTTATTTTCCAAACCAATTTCATCGGTCATTGTATTGTTGCCTCTCAGTTTTCCATTGTGCAACTTGTCTGTTCTCTCTGAAGGCATAAATTGTGACATTTCTGTTTTCCTTGGAACTCTTCGTCGTGTGTACATGCATAAAAAGAATCCAAAATAGTTCATGCTAAACTGTTAATGCCGATTCCCTCTGTGAAGTAGCATTGGGTTGGCTCTAATTCTTTAGGAACTCTTGACGGTGATTTTTTTTTATATGAACATGTAATACTTTTGAAATTTTAAAACAAAGTCTATATGAATCTCAGGAATACTTATTTCATTTTGCTTTTGAGACAATTCAAGAGTGAATACAATTCTCTCTTGAATTCCTAACACCTAGAACAACATCTGACACATAGTAAGTGCTTGATAATATTTGTTGAGTAAAGGAATTGTTGTATTTCTTTATCATAGATGCGCCAACTGCTTTGACTGTCCTGGCTGCATGCACACCCTTTCCACTCGGGCTACTAGCATCTCCACGCAGCTTCCAGATGACCCAGCCAAGACCACCATGAAGAAAGCCTATTACCTGGCTTGTGGATTTTGTCGCTGGACATCTAGAGATGTGGGCATGGCAGACAAATCTGTGGGTGAGTGAGGTAGACTTCACCATGAGATTTTGTGAAATTAACAGTGCTATAATTGCCCACAGATTATTATTTCTGTTACCTGTTGGGCAGTAGGAGCTAAATTCATAATATTTTGTCATTCAGTCTTCCGCATTCTCAGATTCTCCCATTTATGGACAATGATATTTCATCTGAGACCAGGTTAACTTTAGTTTTTTTAGAGTTGGTAAAATAGTCTTTATAAATCACTTTCTTAGAATCTAAATATGGATGCTCTTCATAAAAAATAAACGCCGCTGATGACAAAACACATCATTCACACATTCACAAAACTAAAAGACAAAAGTGACAAACTAAGAACAATATTTGGATCATATATAACAGATAAAGTTAATGAGGAACCCTTATAAATCAGTAAGAAAGAGACCCAAAAGAAAAATAGGCAGAAGATAGGCAGCTTTCAGATTGGAAAAAAAAATGGTCAGCAGCCAAAATGTGTACTCTGAAGGGACAACGGTAGAGTTAAAGCTCTCCGTCTTCACCCCAGACTCTTTATTATCCTTGCAGATTCCATGGAAAGACCCTAACCTTTTATGAAGTTTCAACCCAAGTCCTACTCTTTCTTGTTTTCCTCCTCTCAAATTTTATAGACCTACCTTCTATTTCTACTCTTTTGGTATCATGAACTGTCTTGTACTATTACTATTGTTTAAATGCAAACTTTTCAACTGTTCTCAACTCTAATATGAGTTCTTTGGGAACAAAGACCTTGTTTTGAATGCCTGAATTCTTCATTTAGTTTTCATTGTCCAGTTGATTAGAGTTTTTGTTTTCACTCACAACTTGATGTGAGGTAATATTTTTAAAAAGTGTTAAGTATGCAGAAAGATATGTTCAACTTTGCTGATAAGCAGGGAATTGCAAATTAAAACTTTATCCATTGATTTTTTATGTCTGGTAATATCAGATGTTGGCAAGAACGTGGAAAATAGTTCTTTCACATGTTACCACCTCGGAGAGCAGTTTGACATCTGTTAAAATTTTAAATTGCTTTTTTCCTTCTGCTCAGTAATTCCATGTCCCAAATATCTATCTTGGCACATTCAAATACATGCTCAAAGGTGTGTGTGTGTGTGTGTATACATACATACATACATACATACATACATACGTACATACATATGTACGTATATACATGTAATGTTTATCAGTGAAACAGAAATATTGTGTGTGTTTGGACCTAAATACCACCTAACACATCAATTACCTGTCCATTATTTGAGCATTTCAGAGTGGAGATTGCACTTATCATTATTAGGAAACTTATTTTTACACTTCTTATACTTCATGGTTAACATCAGAGTAGAATCACTCCTTGTATAGTCAGTTCAAAATCTTGAGTTGCTACTTATTTTTATGTAAATAGCATTGCTAATTCCCCATTGTCTTTTGCTTTCCAAAATTTCATTCATAAAATTTTCTGAAAACTTTTTAGACTTGTTAAAAATTCCCATTTTTGGATTTTCATGTAAAATTTCAGCTTTCCTACTAATATATGAGGAAACCCATAACAAACTCATGTTATTTGACATACTAAAGTGAAGATAGACTTTAGCTAAAAACTTTCATAGATTCTTATACCATTTGGAATAAATATGGGTGAAGTTTCTTTAGATTCAACTCTGTTCTTAAAATTTTAATCTTTGATTTTACTCACTTTGCCCCTTGGTTTAAAATGCTTGAGCTCTTGGTTATTTTTCTGACTTTGTACATTAAGTTGATAAAATATTCTTCAGAAACAAAAAAAGTTAACAAGTATATCTTAGTTTGTTAAAAACATTCATTGGTGGGTAGATAGTTCCTGAAATGTGATTTATATTAGAATGATTTTAGAGCATCTTTTTAGATTATGAGTAAATATTTATGTGTGTATGTTTTAATGTCAATGTAGCAAGCTAGTTGTTTGAATTTGTTTACTAATTTAAGTTAAATGTAAAAAGTAAATTCCCTCAAATTGGCATAGTATATGCCTCAGTGAGTTAAAGTGTATTTTTCCATGTTTGTATTTTGTCTCTTTTTATCAAATTAAACAAAGCCCAGAAATCTAAATAGATTTATCAGTTTGTTCCTCTGTAAATGAATGTTTATGTTTTTGAGATTATGAGTCATTAGGATTAGAGAATTTATATTTCAGAAATTTAAAAACCCGTGCTTGCTTCTAGTAATCTGTTTCCTCTAGGGTATCTTGATAGCGATAGTTGAATACAAGGAGTTCTTAAAAGAGTACAGATAATTTCTTTTCCATGATGTTATTGGCATCTGAGAAGCTCTGAAACCACTTTAGTTATAACTATTCGTTTATAAATAAGCCATTGTATCAGTAAAGTGCATAGAAAAACTTATAATGAGATTGTGGGGTCTCCCAAATTGCTGTTGAGAATAAATTACCACTTCTAAAGAAGCAATTAGAACATTCACATTTTTAAAAATATTGCAACTAAAACATTTATTTTACATAATTATTTCTCATGATTGCCTTAAGTAGGCAACTTATAAAATATGAATCTTGTACTAAAGGATGTTACTGCTGCCATGTCTTGCAAGGGAGTATAGTGTCGCTTTGAACAGGGTTCTTTTGTTTTGGAAAAAAAAAGTTGTTTTAAATTCTACAAATAATGCACATTCGTGTATTTATCACCCAGCTTAGAAACACTAGACATAAACAAAACAGTTTAAACCCCTTGTGGAGCCACTGACAATACGTTTCAATGTGAAGCATTTGAAAACATACTGTATGTATCCTACCACTTTTCTCTATCCATATTATGTCTCTGATAGTAGTGGATTTCATTTCATCGGTGACATACCACAGTTTACTTACCCAGTCTCCTCTTGATGGGCATTTAGATGGTTACATTTTTTTCCTTTTGACAACAAGTGGTGTTAGAAACATTCTTATATGTGTTTCATAAGTCACAAGAGTAAGGGTTTCTTTGCATAAGTAAAACTACAATTGCTAGGTTTAAGTTGTGTACATCTTTAGCTCTCCAAAATGGTTTACTAGTTTTTGCTCCTGCCAGCCATCGTTCCAGGCCCTTGGCAGTTTTTAGCATTGTTTTTCCAAACTGTTGGTTGTAAGATGCTATCTCATAATAGTTTAGCTTTCTCCTTTTTTTGGTCAGCTTTATTGAGATATAGTTTACCTATAACGAAACTCACCAGTTTTAAGTGTAGAATTCTATGGGTTTTGACAAATGTGTGTAATCAAGTAGCCACCACCACAATCATGTTACAGAACAGTTCCCATCACTTGAAAAAGTTTCCTTGTGCCCGTTTGCACTCAGTTTCTTCCCCCCACCTCCTTCCTGGCTACTGACACACTGATATGCTTGCTATCACTGTAACTTTGCCTTCTCGAGATGTTTATACAATTGGAGTCTTGCAGTACATAGTCTTTTGTGTTTATCGTCTTTAGCTTAGCATAATACTTTTGAGATTTGCCCATGTTTTTGCTTTTTATTGTTGAGTAGTATATCTGTTGTATGGATATACCACAATTTGTTTATTCATTCTCTAGTTGATGGACATTGAGTTTTTCTCCAGTTTTTGTCTCATGAATAAAGCTGCTGTGAACATTTGCCTGCAAGTCTTAGTCTCATTTTTCTTGAGTAAATATCTAGGAGTGGAATTGCTGGGTCATAGGGTAAGTGTATGTTTCAGGACTGGAAACTGCCAAACTATTTTCTAAAGTGGCGGTACCATTTTGGATCCCCACAGCCACGTAGGAGAGTTTCATTTCCTCAACAATCCTTAGTATTGCCAGTATTTTTCATTTTAGCCATTCCAATAAGTGTGTAGTGATACCTCATTGTGGTTGTAACTTGCATTTTCTTAATGTGCTTAATTTGCCATCGATGTAGTTTCTTTAGTGAAGTGTTTGTATAAATATTTTGCCCATTTTTTAACTGAACTTTTGTCTTTTTATTGAGTTGTAACAGTTCTGTATATATCGAACAAGTCCTTTGTTCAATATATGTTTTATAAATATTTTCTCCCAGTCTGTGACTCGCCCTTTTAATTTCTCAGCAGTGTCTTTTGAAGAACACAAGTTCCTAATTTTGAGGTCCAGTTTAGCAATTGTTTTATTTTATAGTTCATGCCTTTTGTGTCCTAGTGAAGAACTTAGCCTAACACAAGGGCACTAAGATTTTCACTGATATTTTCTTCTAGAAAGATTATAGTTTTAGCTCTTACATGTAAGTTTATTGTTCATTTCAGGGTAAGAGTTGTTTACATTGTGAGGTAAGGGTCAAGGTTCATTTTTTTTGTATGTGAGTATCCAGTTGTAGCACCACTTGTTGAAAATATTCATTATGGTTTTACTTTCAGTTTTCTGGAATAATCTTTGCCTTTATGATTTGTGCTGTTTGTTTCTTAGGTAAGAACATTTCCTCTACCTAGGGTCATAAAAGTAGAACTTGCACAGTGTTGCAGATAAGAGCAGGTTCTCTGGAGTCAGAGTTTGAATCCTGACTTACCACTTAACTATCTGTGTGACTTTAGGCAGTTATTTAACTCTCTGAGCCTCAGTTTCCTCAATTTCTCATTTGTAAAATGAGGCTAATAATAAGAGTTCCCACCTCAGAGGGTTATAAGAATAAAATGAAATGTAAAACATTTCAGCTGCCTGGCAGAGAAGCTATACATGTGTTAGTTGTGGTGTTGGTGATGGTGGTGATTATCACCATCATTATATTTAAAGAAAATAATTTATTCTGAGCATTCTGATCTATATAATTTTTAGGACTCTTTCTTGGAAGTTCTGTGAGTTTATGTTCTTAAGTTTTACTTTGTGGCTTGCAGATGACCTATTTTTGTGAAAATAAAATTATCAAAATTATGAAATTCTTGTTTAATGTTCCTTTATTTTGCAGCCAGTGGTGGTTGGCAAGAACCTGAAAATCCTCACACTCAACGGGTAAGTAAAGGTCATCAGGCTGAAATAAGAAAAGATGGAGAGAGAGACTGAAGATCTTCCATTTTATCAGTGATATGGCCTATGCTTAGAAATCCATGATGTGTATTTTGGTGTCTGTTACACATAGAAAGTGCTTCTCACTGTAAGACATTAAATCACAACGGCAGTTTCTTCCATTAAGTTAATAGAGAAACCTAGGTGTAGTTTTAGTTCTGTATTCAAGTTGTGAATCAGAAAAAGGAAACTGGATGTTTTTGTTTCTCAGATAATCTGCCAACTAAGTTCTCAAATACTCTTGGAACTATCATCAATATATAGATAACTTAACTCCTGGAAACACCACTAATTTAGAGGATGTCCTTGGACTTGACAGTGGTTACTTATAGAATCGTGACTTGAACACCCTTTAACAGTTCATAGTGACTTCATCTCTGTAGTATACACTAGAGCTAATTTTTTTGCCCCTGGAACTAGAATATGAGGAAGATAATTAAGTACTATTGAAATGAGTGTATGTACAATCAAGCTGCAAATTAAACAACAATTTATAATTATCTACTTTTGACATCAGCAAAAATTAGAAACACTGAAAATATCCTGGATGATGGTGTGGGGAATTGGACCTTTATCCATATACTATTGTTGGTGTAAATTAGTACAGATTTCTTAAGCTTCAGTGTCTACTTCCTAGACTCTAACCGATAGAAATACTAATGCATGAAAATATATATATTCATTCATCAAATATTTATTGAGCACTTACGTGTGCCATGGACTGTGCTGAACAATAGGAGTACATGGTCCCTGCCCTTATAGAGCTTAAATCTAATGGGAAAACAAAAATCAGATAACCCGCAGATAAAGGATAAACTGTAAATAATGTGAAGAAGACATAAATTGTACCATGTCAACCTTTCTTAGGGAGAATTTCAGCTAGTTAGGGCCATAGCTTAAGATGTTGCTAAGATTTGAAGACAACAGGCATAGAAGGGAAAGAACTTAAGGTGGAGGAAAGGCATAGGCAAAGAGCTTGTGAATGGAAGAGGCAAAACAAGTTGTAGGCAAGATGAGTGTGACTAGAGTGAAGCATAGCATCAGGTGAATGGAGAGAATTGTGGTCAGACCACACAGGACCATGTAAACCAAGTTAAGGAGTTTGAGAAGGCTTTAAAGGTTTTAAGCAAAGAGCTGGCACGATCAGATCATGTTTCTAAAACATAATTGTTATGAATTACAAGGATGAGAGAAGGTACCAGGAGACCATTTAAGTCCTATCGTAGGAAATGGTTAAATAACTTACAAGACTTCCGTACTATACAATAAGATGTAGCCTTTAAAAAGAATAAGGTAGATCTATTTGCACTGTCGTTCATGAAACTTTCAATGAAAAAGTTGTTTTTTTTCTTTATATGAAATATAGAAAGACCTGTGTTTATACATACAAAAGCGATATTTCTATACATAGGTTGTTATAAATGTGTGCAAAATATACTTGTGTCTGTAAGTGTATAAGAAAGATATCTAAACTGAAATAGTAGATAACCCTGGTGATGAGAAAGGTGGACTTGAGATAGAAGTTTCACTTTTTATTTTTTTATATTTGAGTTTTTCACAACATATTTTTATGATTAAAATATATTAAAAAAATAAAAATGTGCTGTGGAATGGGGGAGGAAATAGAGTACAAAATGTCACATTCTTAGAAATAGATGGCCCTCTGGCCATGCAGGAAACAGGAGCAGTTATGAAAGGAAATAATGAAGTAAAAGAGAATAAAAAGAGAGCATGACATTTTCAAGCCTTTTCATTGCCCATTTCTACCTGTTGTTAAACTTGAAGTTTCTATGTCAATTCTGAAATAGGTCATGTAATGAAGAAAAATTCTTTTCAAAGAAAAGGGCAAACTTGCCCACCTTAATAATTTGTCATATATATATTATGTGTCTGGTCAGTGTAGTTGACTAATTTTGTATGTTTCCTTTTAGCTTTTTCATGAAAAAATACTGTCTTTGATTTCTTACAGATGAACAAACTGATCGAATATTACCAGCAGCTTGCTCAGAAAGAGAAGGTTGAGCGAGATCGCAAGAAACTGGCACGGCGTAGAAACTATATGCCTTTGGCCTTTTCGGTGAGGACCTGGTACAAAAAGGAGTTTGCACTTCATTGATCAGGACCTGTGTGGCATAAGGACAGTGACCATTTCAGAAAGTGGCCATTGTCCCTAGATTCCTGAAGGATGAGTAGCAGAGAAAGATTTCTCAGATTATAGGTGTTTTAGTCCAGTAGTGATGCTTTTGCCATATTATGAGTTCCATTTGAGTTCTTAGGTTTTAAGGGAATTTGTGTTTCTTCATCACTCCTCTTCTCTTCTGATTATTGCCCAAAGAGGCTGCTATTTGTAAACACCACAGAATTTGTGCAACTTTTAGATATTACAGAAAATCAGGTCAGCAAGTGGTAGATTTTATTCATATTACCACCATGTAGCCTACCCTCGACATCCTGGTATCTAGTTACCATAATTTGGGGAGCACCTTCCCATATTTCTTCAGTATGAAAACACTGACTTTTACACAGTGCATTTGTTAAATAGTGATATATGCAAATTAATTTTTGATAACGAATTATTTACAGAAGTTATTCTCCACTAGTTTGTATGCTACCGATCAGAAGCAAGGGATTAGGATTTGGAGCTTTTGTTATTATCCCCCAAGTTTTATTTGCTCTCACAGAACAATTTTTTTTCTGTATGTTTGCTTGGCATTTAATAAATAACATTTATTGAATGGCAGTAATGTGTCAAGCCCCATGCTAAGCCCTTTACACATGTTATTTAATCCTCACAATAATTGTAGATGGTATATCCCCATTTTACAGTTCAGAAAATGAGACCTGTAAAGGTTAAATAACTTGTCATACTGCTTCTGCATGAGAATTAGTTAAGCCATCAAAACCCTAAGAATTGGTAAGGTCCATATAAAAATATCTAGTTCAGAATTTAATAAAACTTTAAAACTTGGAAAACTTCTAAAAGCCAAAGACTTTGATGAAGTCTTAATGAGTTTTTCTGCCTAATCCAGTGATGCAAATAACGTATGCAAATAGCATATGTACTAGTGTATTTAGGAGAGGAATGTGAATTAAATGCACTATCTTTCCAACTTTCCCATATAACCTGCCTGCTGTATGAGTTTGCTTCTATCTTATGCTACATTTTTTTTGTCTCTGTTGCAACCTGCTGCTAATTTGGGGCCTACAGCAACACACTATTCATGTAGTGGTAAGTTCTCTTTTATGATTCTTGCTAACCCTGAAGAAGTTAGCAGGTGATCACTGGTGTCCCAAGAAGACATTCACCATGTGTCTTAGACATTCCACATAGTTTTGGTCTAAGCCATAGCTTAGATACTTTTAGGTTAATAGTTAAAAAAAAAACATTTTTAATTTTACTGTATTAATATAGTTGCCGTCTCCATGTTTGGTGCTTTTATTATTTTAAGAATAAGAAGATATGGGGCTACAAATTACTCTCTTTAAAAGAAGCTTCAAATTAGTTTTGTTTGTTTTGTTTTGTTTATGTTTTGCTTATTTCCCTAAGCTTCTCATGCTGTCCCACCCAAAATTCTTTCTTTTGACAAATAGGATTTATAAAGGTGAAATTTCTCATAGAAATTTCTGAACTCTGTTTAGGACAAATACGGGCTTGGAACCAGGCTTCAGCGACCACGAGCTGGTGCAACCATCAGTACCCTTGCCGGACTTTCGTAAGTTTGGACATAAGTGTCTTTGAGAAAAAAAGCAGATAGTAAAATGAAGAATGAATGAACGTGATTTTTAAATAAATAAATAACAATTACCAATGGTGAAGAAGAGTCTCACTTAGAAGAGACCTAAAAGAAAGACTATAATAGAAGAATGTTTCAGTTTTTGATGTCATAGACTTTACAGATAATCAGGTGGACCCTTAAGAAAGTACTGCTTTTTCTCTTTTAGCCTTAAAGAAGGAGAGGACCAGAAAGAGATAAAGATTGAGCCAGCTCAAGCTGTAGATGAAGTGGAACCTCTACCCGAAGACTATTATACAAGACCAGTAAATTTAACAGAGGGTAATTTTATACGTGATTCTACTTTGTTTATATTTTACAGATAATTCTGCTTTTGTTACTTTTATGCCTTGGATGTGAGATTTTTAATGGCACAGTTGTCAGTAGTAAAATGAATCATGTAGAAAATAAAATAGATGTAATAGACGTAATCGTTTGAAGAACTTTAAAATGTCCAGTTTCTATATGGTAGTTTTGAAGAATACTATTCACAAAAACTCTTGTTTTATGTAATTTCATATAAGTCTGATTTTGAGCAAGTAACCAAACTAAGCCTGATTTCTGCCTTTCATGCTAGTGACCACCCTTCAGCAGCGCCTCTTACAGCCTGACTTCCAACCAATCTGTGCATCCCAGCTCTATCCTCGTCACAAACATCTTCTGATCAAACGGTCCCTGCGCTGCCGGGTAAGTATTGCATTCTGTCGAGTTGCCATTTGTACCAGGGAAAAGCAGACATAAACATGATTGATACCTGGCCAATATCAAAATCTCTGGAATGTAGTAAATAAAGAGAATGCATAGGTGTCCAGGCACTATTTTGAAGGTAGACTCAATCCTCACAACTCTGTGAGGTAGGTACTATTAATACACCTGTTTTACAAGTATAGAAACTGAGATATCCTGAAGGTTGAGTTCATGGTACTAAGTCCTAAAAGATTAGCAAAAGAATATATAGTTTAATAGAGAAAAAACAAAAAGGACTAATTTTTAAAAAATAAGCAATTTAAAAGAAAGCAAGAAAGAAGAAAAAGTAGCAAAATCCAGGCTCTGGGAATCTATAAAAGAAACAGTAGAGTTTTTTCAGTAAATAAATTGTAAAAAAAAGAAAAGGAATCCTTTTAGATTACTCCTATTCAACAGAACTTCCTATGGTGATGGAATTGTTCTGTGTCACGCAGTCCAACATGATAAACACTAGTCACATGTAGCTTTTGAACACTTGAAATGTGATAGTGCAACGGAGGTGCTGATTCATCATCTTAGTTCATTTTAATAACCACATGTGACTAGTGGCTACTGTTATCACAGAGTTCAGTGCTAGGTTAGAAAAGACTTAAGAAGCATGTTAAACACAATGTATAGACTTTAATTCTTGATGCAAACAGAACATAGAAGGAAAGGGGCCAGAAGAGGAAGAACAAAGGAAAGGAAGGGGAAGGGGAAGAATAAGGAAGGAAAGAAAAATGTATGAAAACTTTAGAGAAATTTAAACTTTTTTTATGCTACTAAAAGAAATGTTCATTTTTTTAGTATTGTAACTTTTTAAATAGTATTTTAGCTTTTTAAAATAGTTTTATGTTTTAGAGATATGTAGCAAAATATTTTTGGATGAAATGACATGATGTGTGTATCTGTTTCAAAATAATCAAACATGGGGAGTGGATAAGAATGTGGATGAAACAAAATTGGCCATTGTTGCTAACAGGTTGCTAATTGTTGAAGCCAGGTGATGGATACCTAGGGATATATAATACTGTCCTGTATTTTTGCATATGTTAGAAATTTTCTGTAATGGAAAACTTTTAAAAAGAAAGGAAAAGCCTACTTTAAATATAAAGGCACGTATAGATTTAAAAAAATGGATGGAGAAAAATATACCATGCTAACACTAATCAAAAGCAAGAGTAGCATTATTAATTTCAGACATAAGATTTCAAAGTATGACAGTTATCAGGGATAAAGAAGGGCATTACATGTGGAAAAGGGATCAGTTCTCTAAGAAGATAATAATTCTTAACTTATATGTGCCTTATAGTAGAGTGTCAAACTATGTTAGGCAAAAACTGACAACTGCAAGGAAAAATAGGTGAATCCACTATTGTAGTTGAAGACTTAACACTCCTCTCTTAGAAATGAACAGATCCAGCAGGCAAAAATTCAGGACATAGTTGAACTCAGTTATATCCATCAGTCATTGAATATAATTGCCATCTACAGACTGTTTTATCCAAAAACACATTTTTCTCAGCTCACATGGAGCATTCACCAAGAGACTATGTTCCGGGCCATAAAAAAACACCTTAACAAATTTAAAAGAATAGAAATCATACAGTAGCTGCTCTTACATCAAAATGGAATTAAATTAGGAATTGATAACAGAAACATAACTGGAAAATCTCCAAATATGTGGATTAAACAACACACTTCTAAATAACACATGGGTCAAAGAAGAAATCTCAAGAGAAATTTACAGTATTTTGAACTGAATGAAAATGAAAACACAGCTTATCACATTTGTGGAATGCAGTAGAAACAATGCTTAGAAGGAAATTTATAGCATTGAATGTATATAAGAAAAGAAGATCTAAAATCAGTAATGTACGTTTCCACCTTAGGAACCTAGAAAAAGAAAAATTTAATTCAAAGTAAGCAGAAGAAAAGAAATAATAAGAATTAAAACAAATCGATGAAAACAAATCAGTAGAGAAAAGCAGTGAAACCAAAAGCTAGATTTTTTGAAAAGATCAATCAATAAGTCACTAGCCAAGGTAACTAAGAAAAAGAGAGAAGGATACAAATTACTAATGTCAGAAATGGAAGAGTGGGGATCACTACAGTTCCCATGGAAATGAAAAGGATACTAAAAGAATACAATGAACAACTCTGTGCCCACAAATTTGATAACCTAGATGAAATGGACCAATTTTTTGAAAGATAACAATCTGCCAAAACACACAAGAAATAGACATCTGAATAGGTCTATATCCATTAAAGAAATGGAATTAATTACCTTCTAAAACAGCACCCGGCCAAAATGTGTTGACTGGTGAATTCTACCAAATATTTAAGGAAGAAATTATATCAAATTTTCTATAATCTTTCAGAAGATAGAAGCAGTTAACTGCCTAACTTGTTCTACAAGGCCAGCATTGCCCTAATACTAAAACCAGACAAAGACATTACTAGAAAATCTACCAAAAGTAAATAAACTGTGTGTTGTATTGACTCATCAACCTCACTTCTAGGAGTCTGAAGATATACCTCTACACAAACTAAAATGAACGGAGATTAGAGTATACCCACACGATTGGTACTATAAATCTATGAAAAAGAATATGATGGTGTGGAATATCTTTTTAAATGCAAAAAGCAGGTTGCAGGGCAGGTATATAACTTTGTGTGTAAGAAAGGAAGGAAAATAAATACATGTATGTATAAATAAAAAGTAAGAAAAAATGCATATGTTAGATTAGACTTGCAATAGAATGAAGAAAGCAGAAACAGACTCATATGTGAGGAAACTTGATTTTACTAAATATGGCATTGCAGATCATTGAGGAAAGACTAGCCATTAAATTTTCCTAGGTCAAATGATTATATGAAAAAAATAAAATTGGGACTCTACCTCACTATACACAAAAGTCACTTTCAGGAACATTGGGAATTTTAAAGAGGGTAAATAAGAGACTATCTTTATGACTTTTGAGAGTATTCCATAAGTAAGGGAGGATTCTATAAGTAAGACAAATAAACACAAACTATAATGGAAAAAGTTATATATTTGATTAAAACTTGTACCCCTCTGAAGAAAACCCATGAAACCCTTCATGGGTTTTCTTCAGAGGGGTACAAGTTTTAGAAGAAATGAAAAGATAAGATGTAGACTGAGAAAAATAATTTGTGGGGCATATAATTAAAAGATTAGTATCCAGAATATATAAAGAACTTTAGCAGAATAGTAAGGAAAAGGTACCCCAGTATAAAAATAACCTGTAGATAATAACATACAAATATTGGCAGAGGAAATGCCAATACTCAATAAATAGGAGAGAGACTCAAATTTACACAGTAATTATGGAAATGTACATTAAAACTACAAATTGGCACAAGTTAGCAGTTTCGCAATATCTATCAAAATAAATACACTCACCCATTGATCCACTTTTAGGAAGTTATCCTACAGATACATTTACACATGTGGGAAATGATTCATATATGAGAATACTCATTGTGGCATTATTTGTAGTAGCAAAATCATGGAACCATCAATTAGTTTGGGTCTGGTTAAATAAGTTACAGTAGGATACAGAGGCACCTCTGCATGTGCTGTTAGGGAATTCCAAGATAGATTAAGCTTAAAAAACAAAGGACAGAGTATAAAATGCTCCCTTTTGTGTTATTGTAAAAAACAAGGTGATGATATGTATACCTTTATGTGCATAGGCTGTCCATGAGAAAACAGGAGAAGCTGGTTGGCTTTGGGGAAAGGAATCCGGGGCACAGGTTAAATGGTTATCTTTACACTATACCTTTTTTGTATTATTAAAACAAATTTTTAACCAGATTCATGTAGTACTCATTCAATAAATAAATGTTACTGTATTTTAAAGCATGAGGTCTGGAATCACACTACTTAGATTTAAATCCCAGCTCCAGTTCTTACTGGCTCTGTGAAGTTGCACAGATTACTTACTCTTCCTGTGCCGCATTTTCATCTTCTGTGAAATGGCGACAATAATAGTTATAGTACCTACACTTACCTCATAAAGTCAACATGGTATTTAAATTCACTTAAACCAAGAATGTATACCTTCTACGCTATTTAGAGAGGAAATAAAAAGGACTGATACAAAAAGTTGAAAACAGGAAAGAAAATCAACACAATCCATATTGATCAACACACATAGTAAGTACTCTGTATGCATTAATTTCATTATTTCAGTAGTTTTGAAGCACTGCAAAAGTATAATAATATTTGACAGTATAGTTGTTTATAGCTAGAAGTCCAAAACATCTTTTTTTGTATTTTCTATTTATTAGTAGTCTATACCATTTCAAAACATATGCGGTCTTACAGCAAAATAAAACAAAACTTCTGAATTTGGCAGCTGTCTTGAATTTGGCAGCTCTATGGATTAGCAGAATATGTTCCTGTTTTTCTCTGATACATATATTTTTTCTTTTTAGAAATGTGAACATAATTTGAGCAAGCCAGAGTTTAATCCAACATCTATCAAATTCAAAATCCAACTGGTTGCTGTGTAAGTATTTTAGGATTGCAGTTTTCAGTTACTGTTCGTTTGTTTGTCTTTTTTAATGTGAAATGTGCTTTACTCTTCGCTTAAAAAAGGAAAGAAAAACTATTTCTGTCAGAATGATCTTGCTGTTCTGTTTCTGTTTAGATTTTGAATTACATACCATGAAGTTTAAGGCAAACCTATACGTAGAATCTGGGGTGTGTGTTTGTATCAGGGACACAATGATAGGATAGTCCATGGCAAAGTGATATGTTGACTATCGAATGGAGAGTTACTAGTCATTCATTACAAATTCTAAAGTACCTAAGTTTTGGAGTCATCTTTTAAAAGATTAAAAAATAATAAAGTATAGCAGATTGAAGAATATCCCTGTCACAATGTTCATTTTATTTAACTATATTCTAATAATACTTCATTGAGTGAGATCAAAGTGATTAAGTTAATGTTAACTCACTGGGACTTGTCTCTAGAAGGGAAACTTCTGTATGAAAATCACCTATCAAACAAAAATATTTTGAAAAATTGGGAAAATATTGTCTTGATTTTAGGGTGAGATACCCTTCCTACATAAGGCAGGAAGCTCAGAAGCCACTAAGAAGAATAGACAGCTTTGACCTTAGCAAAAAAAAAAAAAAAAAAGAGTTATAAAAAACAAAATTGACAACAAAGTCCTAAGACAGTAAAGTCACTCCATGACAAAAGTTAAAACACTGCAATGCAGGATTCCCACAAATTGGAAAGGTAAAAATGGAGAAGGATGAGGTGGGGCAAAGAATTTGAACAGACAGCTCACAGAAGAGGAATTGCAAATGGTCAGTAAATGTGTATGGAAAGATGCTGAGAGTTGATAGGAAAAGCTTAAATAAATGCATCTGTTGCTCATTAAAATGTGGGTAAATGTTTGCATGCATTAATGATAGGCTTGTAAATTGCTCGTCTTTTTGGAGTGGTCTGAAATATCAAGACAAAATTACATAGACCTTTTAACTGAGCAGAACTATCTCAGGAATCTGTTCTGTAGAAACAAAAGCACCAATATCTAAAGATACATTTAAAAGGAATTGTATTGCAGCATTTTCATGGCAAAAGCTGGAAACAATTTCAACATCAAGCTGATTAACCATTAACAAAGAAATAGTTTATAAAATCGGGATACACTAGTGCCGTAGAATATTATGCAGCAATCAAAAAGTCATTGGCAGTCAAAAGGGTAAGTGCTGGTCTGGTGAGCTAGGAGGAAGGAACTAGAAGGGCTTGGTCTGGAGTCTTTCGCTATGGCTAAACGTATTTCCCTCAATCCTGAAATGAGAATAATACCAGCCCTGCCTTCTTCTTAGGATTGTTGAGAAGAAGCAAATGAGCTATATATTATGTTTGCAAATGCTTTATAACTGTAAATCACCATAAAATGTTCCATTTTCCTAACTACTTCTATTTAATACATGACTGGTTAGCAAAGAAGAGAATGACCAAAATGGTACATGTGAAGTCTGGCATGAGCACCTTTCTTAATTAAGAATTACTCTAATTATAGAAACTCTGAGTGGCAGGATGTGCTTAGCATTAATTTCTTAAGCTTACTTTGAGAAAACGTGCTTTTTTCTGACATCATGACAGAATCACCTGAGAATCTTAATATAGAAATCTGGCAACATGTTAGCCCCGCTAAATCCAAATCCTTGACACTGGGGCCTTTGAATTTGTATTAAGTTACTCAGGTAATCCTGGCGACTAGCATGAAAAATATGTAAAGTTAAAATACCTCTTGCCTCGATTCTAAGGTGAACTTTTGCCTCCACTTCAAGTGTTTCTGCAGTAGATTTTGTCTTATGTTAATATATGCACACTTACTAACATTTATGCGTGCTTTGTTCTCAGCACTTTTTGCACGTATCATTTAATATATTCTTCACAGTAACCTTAAGATATAGATGATAATGTTATCCCCATTTTACAATTGAGAAAACCAAGGCCTAAAGAGGTAAACATTTGCCCTAGTCTTTACAAAGAAATACCCTGGTATATGAACACTAAGCTGGGATTTGAACCTGGACAGTTTTGAGTCCAGAACAAGCACACATACATACAGTAGTCCATGGTCTTATCGAGAGAGGCTGCATAGCATAGTAATTAAGAGCAAGGACCCTGGAGCAAGACTGCCTGGGTTTGAATCCTGGCCACTTACCAGCAAGTTACTTTTGTTCCCAAACCTAGTTTCTTCATCGTTCTAAAGAAGGTAATAATAATAATACCTATCTTGTGCTGTTGCAGTGAAGATTACATGAATTCGTATCTGTAAAGTGATTAAAACATTGTCTGGCATGTATTAAGTACTATATAAAAGTACGTGGTAGTGTTTTTACACCCCTACAATGCATTCTTTAATCAGTCTTGGATCTTACAACCAGTTGTCTTTCAGATTGATGGAAATGAATTAATAAAATCTCAAAAATATATCTAATACATAAGGAAGATACCTTCTGTCATACACACACATCTATAGGCTCTAATCAAGAAGTATTCATAAGATTTCAGAGAACTCATTACCAGTTTGGTTTCATGTCTTAAGTTCATATTGGGGTGATGATGTAATTTGCTAAAATTCTTTCTCTCTGACATGTTCTAATTAACATAAATCTTTTTATAGTACACTAGCTTTTAAAAAATGATAATTTTAAGAGACTCCAGTGACCATTAATGCATTTTTTTAATTCATGCACAGCAATTATATCCCAGAAGTGAGAATCATGTCAATTCCCAACCTTCGCTACATGAAGGTTAGTACTTTGCTTATTAACAGGAACAGAAAGCTCACGGATCAAAATTGTGTGCGTGTTTATGTGGGTAGCTGTGTGTATTTGCCATGGGGCACAATGAGCAAGCAATAGAGAAAAAGAAAGTTTGGAATAATGAAGGGGTTGAGATTTTAAATTTTTTAAACTGGGATTCTTGACAACAGTGTCTTTGAATATATGCAGAAGGAGCAGTGCGCACATTATGTAGAGATGGAATTGTGGGTGGGGAAAGAAAGGAGATGTTGGACCCTGCAGGCATTTAGCTCTTCTCTACCATGTCATGTGTGTATATGTAGCAGATACCAGGAATCAACTATATTTCTTCTTTACCACAGCCCCTTTATTTGAGGTCCTTATCTATGGCCCTTCCTCCTACACATGCCCCTAATGAATTGTAATATTTTGCAGCAGCAGCTTGTTTAGTTCTTTCTTTTTGTGCTGCCCATGAAGACATTTATATAGCCCCTGTTCATTTTAAAAGTATTTTTTGCTCATCTCAAGAGAGTACCAAACAAGGGCAAATTATGGTTCAAGAAATCTTAGAAGTCTTTTACAGCCTTAATGTGCCATTTTTTTATGTTAATACATCTGACTAGCCCATAGCTTCCATATTTTATTTTATTTTATTTTTTCATATTTTATTAATGAGAGCTTCCTACCTTTTAGTCCTTAAGTGGAGGACTGAGTGGAACAAGAGTTGTAAACTTTAATCACTCAGATAATATGCCTTCCTCAGGATTTCTGGATCTAGTAACAGGCCCTTTCTATGTGATCTGTCCCATTTCCTTAAAGAAATGGCAACTCCAGAGAGTATATGCCCTAACCTATAAATAACAGAATAGGAATCAGTGAGCACTTCGAGAATGCTATGATGTATAGGTATAAGTGAGTGTTATTGCTCAAGAGTAAGTGGAGAAGGAAGTGGGGTTGAAGATTTTGTGAAATATTTGGTATAGCAACTAAGAAAGTGGAATTAGGTGCAGCAGTTGTGGAACATGTCTGAGAGATGCTTTTCTTACTCCACAGGAGAGCCAGGTCCTCCTGACTCTTACGAACCCAGTGGAGAACCTCACCCATGTGACCCTGTTGGAGTGCGATGAGGGAGACCCTGATAATATCAATAGCACTGCTAAGGTAGGAGCATTTCGTCTTGTCCTGAATCACCTTGACTTTTCCTGGAGTGGCCTCATTTGACCTGGCTTAAAAAGGACTCCCCATTGTCTCTCATTTCCACATCCAAGCTGTTATCAAGTTCTTTTGATTCTACCTCCTAAGTTTTTTCCTTTATCTGTAAACACACTGACACTGCCCTATTCGAAGGATTCATCATTTGTTACCTAGACTGTGACAGTGACTTCCTAACTGACCTCACTATTTTCAGTCAACCCTTGCTTCCATTCCTGTTCATCTTCCGCCTTGCAACCAGGGTGATCTTTCTAAAATCAAACTTGACATGCTGATTATTTGCTATTTCTCTGACTTTGAGATGAAATTCAAATTCATTAGCAAACCATAAGAGCTCCTGAATGTCTTCACCTCTATCTGTTCTTCCAGGATGATCTTCCCTCAGGTCCCCAAAGCTGGCATTCTCTGAATCATACATAATAATGGTAGTGATCCAAGCAGATCCAATGGTTGTGAACTTGCATGCTGGAGCATTACATATGCTATTCATTTTATCCAGAATGCCTCCTTCCTATTTCCACTTCTCTAACATACATGCTCATACCTCTCTTTCAGTCTCATACATACTCGTTCTTCAGGACTCATAGGAAATAACACCTTTTAAAAGCTGGTATGCCTCCTCTAGATGCCTTCTGCTTACATAAAGGATACATAGCGCTAACTAAATATTAAAATAGGTGATTTTGACTTTCAGTGTCAGTCGAATGAATGAAATATGTGGCCTTACTACATTTTGCTACTTGATGATTCATCTAGTACTTTTACCTCAATAACTTTTCTCTTAGACCATCTATTACTGACTCATAACTCAGTGTGATGTTCATTAACAAAAATTGGTAGAAGGGATGCCCGTGTCTTTAATTAGCTGATATTCAAATAATATTTACTAGTAGAGAATTTCTTTATCCCTTTTTTCTTTCTTCCTTGTGCTTTTAATGATTTCACTTATAATATTACGTACAAAGAGAGATGACACATCTGTCCTTGTTCCTTTTCTTAACACCGAGAAGCTATTCCAGTGAGGATAAAGACAGAAATAAGTGCCTGATTATATACCCAGCTTGTGGATTTGCTGTTTTTCTCTTTATACTTCCCCAACCACATTTGTATCCATAAGAAGAAATGTGGTTGATATTATTATCTGTTAACCTCTGACATAGCAAAGTTGAGGCCTAGTTAAAATGTAAGTGAAGAATGCGTAACTACTTTCCATGACCATAAACAAACCCAACATCCCCATTTCAGAAAATATTATATTGGAACCAATGTTTCTCCTTTATGTTTTTCTTAAAAAAAAAAAAAAAAATTCACGTACACCAGAAAGTATAAAGAATAATGTAGCAAATACTCATGTACCTCCATCCCCTTGAGAAATAAAACTTCAAAGACACAAAGCCCCTATGTCCTTCCCACTTGAATTCCCCAGTAAAGTAAGCTCTCCCTTGACTTTATCACTCCCTTAAATTTCTTTGTCCTTATATTTTTACTGGAAATGTCTATTTTTAAACTATGTTTTTAAACTAAATATAAGTGATATAAAACTATATGTTTCTTGACTCATGCTGATTACTTCTGCACATCTAAATAAATATAATACTTTGCTATATTCCGTTGGATGACTGTCCTGTGATGTACTGATTCCTTCTAAGGCAGGCCTCTCTGTTGCTCTCCAGGTGGTGGTGCCTCCCAAAGAGCTCATTTTAGCTGGCAAAGACGCAGCAGCAGAGTATGATGAGTTGGCAGAACCCCAGGACTTTCAAGATGATCCTGAGTGAGTGACCTTTTTGTGATCCCCATACTACAATTGGCTGACTTCTTATCTGGATTTTTAAAAATAATTTTCCCTATTTATAAAAATAATTACTATAGAAATTTGGGAAATATATATAAAACATGAAGAGGAAAATAAAATCCCCCCACAAAAGATAAGCATCATTAGCATTTTGGTGTTTGTCCTTCCATTATAGTTCTTTCATCATTGATATCATTCTGCAAGTACATTTTTTTAACTTTTTTTTTCACATAAATATGTTTTTCAAGTGCATGATTTTTAATGGTTGCGAACAAGATACAATATTTAATCTCTATAGATTTATCATTGGAATTGTCTACCCCCTCCCTTGCTCTCTTAGAGTAATTAATAGATTTACTCTTTCATACCTAAAAATTGAAAAGTAAACAATCAAACCTTTTCCTGAATGGGGAATGCATCAGTCAGGATCCAATCTAAAGACAGAAATGGCGTAAGTTATTTGAACAGAGAGAATTTTATATAAAGAATTGTTACCTGGGTAACTTTGAAGGTTAAAAAAATTCTGAAGTATCCCAGAGATGTCAGGTTTATGAAGCAGCTACCACCCTAGGGCTGAGGGAACAAAAGAAAATGGTTAGGAGTGTTAAAATTTAGAAGCCTGAAGGAGAAGCCCCATGGAGCTGAAACTCAGGAGGTGAGAGAGGGGACAGTGCTTGACTGGTGCTGACATCTTAGGATGGCAGAGAAGAGGTAGCATGATGAAGCTGGTATTCAAGAGTTGGAAAACTGCAGCTGGCTATTGCCACTTTCTAGCTGAAGGAGCATTGCTGGAGTGATGCACAGGGAACCACACACAAACAAGAAGGTCACAGGGAGGAGCAGCTACAGAGCA